CCATGTTTTATATTAATTTTTGGCATTCAATCTATTATATAAAAAAAATCTTTATTTACATAAAAATTGTCACATGATGTGGCATTAGATGCCAAATCTTGTTGAATAGATGTAATCTAATCTAGTTTAATTCAATTTATTTTCATCAATTTAACATTTTTTGTTAATTGATCTTATTAGTTTTAATTAAGTTTTAAAAAATCAGGTAGAGAAACCTCCTTGACTTGAAGTTTTTTGCAAGTCAAATCTTATAAGTGATTTTGAGGAAAAAATAGCTTTTGTTGTAAGATATTATTTGGCTTTGGTGATTAGCCTTTTAATAAAGTTTTAAAGGTTTTTTTTATACATATTCATATTTTTAAATTCTTTCTTTATAGTATGAAAGAGAGCTTAATGTAGTAGTATTTAGATTTTTCATCTTTCACTTAATAATAATGTCATCTTCTTCAATTTTCGGTATAAAAAATTAAAATAGAGTAGTTAAAAAAAATTAAAAATAAATATTTCTTCAATTTTTTAGAATATTATTACTATTAGATTTTATTCACTCTCACTTGGCTACAAAAAATTACTATACTTATGCCACATGATTATTCCAAAAGGTATTGGCATGCAACAAGTAAAAATAGATGCCTTACAAAAAAATCTTGGCACTAATTGATATTTCACAATTTTGGACTTTTTTTGATTTGAAAAATTAATATCAAAGTTTTGTCAAGAATTTAAGCTTTACTGCCTAGCCTTTAAATATTTTCAGGGACAAAGATCATCTATAGACTTAGGATTGTAAGTGACAGCAAGCATTTGATATATTGAAGCAAAAATTAGATTCAGCTCTAATACTTCAATGTCCAATTGCATTTAAATCTTTCCAACTATACACAAATTAGAGTGCACTAAGATTAGGAACAATCTTGATCTAAAAGAATGATATAAAATAGAAATATGTCATTGTATTAATAATATAGAATTTAATTGTTCATCTTATGAGGATGAAGCTTTGGCAATAATTTAGGCTATTGCTTATTTTTTATCTTATTTGTATAAATAAGAATTTACAATGGTGACTAACTATTAACCTTAAAAGTGGCTTATGGAATTAAATAAATTTACTCTTAAGCTTGTTAGATAGGATTTATAGCTTCAAGAATATGACTTTGAGATTATACATGAAATAGATAACACTAATTTGGATATAGACAAAGTTTTCTATAATTTAAGTTTTTTAAAAGAGGATTTGAATAGAGCTTGATGGCATGGAAATTATAATAGAAGAAAATCTTGGATGATATGTAACCACAAACTTGAATTTGATATCAAACTCTATAATTGTCATACTTGATTAAAGCTCAGATGTGAAATCTAAAAAGACCTAAATAATTAGTAATGTATATGACGATCTTGTAGACTTACACAAGCTTCAACAAAGAAAATTTCTTTTAGCTATCTATACTATAGAAAGTAAAAAAGATTAGTTACAAAATAATAAGATTTTTTTTGTAAAATAATTTGTCCTTTTGTGTATAGTCTAATATAAATAGGTATAGTTTCAAGGCCAAATTAAAGGACTTCCTTACTACATCAAGTACATAAAGAGCTTGGATATTTTGTAGTATATGGAACACATTTTATTTTGTACATCCAATATTGATGGATTGACATATATCAACAAGAAGTGTGTGATGAAGTCAAATCAAATTTTTACACTTTATTACTTCAATTGAGGCTTTTATATAATATAGATTGGCCTACTATTGATCTTTGGACTTTTTTGGGCCACTTGTTGTCACCTTAAGAAGAGCTAAATATAAGTTGATGATTATAGAGAATTTAGTAAATAGATTGAACTTGTGGCTTTGCCACAAAACTCTTCAAATTTGACAATTACGACTTTTCTTGATGAAGTTTTGGTATGTTTTGAATTACTTGCTGAAGTCTTAATAGATCAAGGTAAGGAGTTTTTTAGAACTTTTAAGGTTTTTTATAATAAAGCTTTGATAAATTATTATAATGCTTCTAAAGATTATTTTGAAATAGATGACTTAGCTGAATGGATTGTTTAGACTACCAAGCATGGTTTATAAAAGTATGGATTACTTCATGGCAACTATTGTAGTTAGAACTTGATGTTATTATAGATTATAATAGATCATCACTTTAGTAGGTAAGCATCTTTGGCATCTTATATATCCTATCAATTATTGCATAGATAAAAGTCAATTCCACTAAGTTTAATATGTGAGAAGCTAGCTCTAATTATAGACTTAAATAACTATCACATTTAAACTTAATGTCTATATAATCAAGCAGAGTTTTTTATGATGGCCATGCCCCTCGCTATAAAAAACTTATATATTACTTAATATTGTGATATTTTATGATTTGCTTATATTCATGGTGGATCTTATTGATCTTAATTGTGAATATTTTTCAAATAAGATTATGTATATTTATAATATCAGGTACCTACAATACTTGATGTTAAGACATGACACACAATTTTTTGTATCAAAGATATGTTTTCTTGTAGTATTTTGTTGCTTAAAAGAAAAGATGGACAAGATTATAAGGTATATTCAAAAAATTGTATTCTTTATCACCTTCCTATGGATGATTCTATACATCTTGAATTAATTGTTGTGCTAAATGGTCTTTTTTGTTTTGTATGTGGTGGAAGAAATGGATTGTTACTATACTACTATGTAATCAATGGTAATGTGGATGATATATGACATGCTTGGTATCACTTCTTTCAACTATTCGTTTAAGAAATTAATTTATCCTTATTATGAGAAATCTTTTAGCCATGTCTCAACTCTTAACAAGGATTGGTGATTCTTTCTTTTATCTTGGCCATATATTTTGATAGTCTAGCTATTATAACATTAACTTGGTCTATTTCCAAGTACATGTATATTATCATCATAGTTAAGTGGAGGAGCTTCCAATCAGGTAAGAAGAGGTGGAGGGAGATACTTCAAAGTGTATTTGTCATACATTTATATTTGATTTAGATTGCATACTTCATGTTAATTTTTGGCATTCAATCTATTGTATATGATAATCTTTATTTATATAATAATTATCACCTAATATTGCATCAAGTATCAAATCGCATAAAATGGATATAATCTAGTTTTGTTCAATTTAGTATATTTTTATTTAATTAATATTTTTTGTTACTTGATCTTAATAGTATCAACTATGGTTTGAAGACTTAGGTAGAGAAACTCCCTTGACATTCTTGTAAGTGATTTTAAAAGAAAAAAAAAGTCATTGTTGTAAGATTTTATTTAACTACAATGATTAGTTTTTTAGTAAAGTTTTTAAGGTTTTCTCTACACACACTTGCATTTTTGGATTCTCTCTTTGTAGTGTGAGAGATAGCTTAACTTAGCAATGTTTAGATTTTTCAACTTTCTTTGAGAGTGCATTTGTATTTGGTTTAGATTGCATACTTTGTGTTGATTTTTGGCACTAAATTTGTTTTGAATGATGATCTTTATTTACACAACAATTTAATCATTCTCTAAAATTTTGAAAAAAATATTTCAACATCATCTTATTTTTTTGTAATTTATTTTATGAAAGTTAATACTATTAATATCTATCCATATACTATTACAAAAATTTGTATATGCATCAATGAACATTGTTGAATAAGTAGTTTTCTTAAGTTTTTTTTTTTTTTTTTTTTTTTTTTTTGTAGCTATTCTAAAACAACAATGGCATTTGAAAATTGAAGTTTAAAGATAATAATGATAAGAACTTGATTGTATTACATAAGAAGATGTAATAATAAAAAAATATTATCTCTTGTAAAAAATATATTATAATATATAGTAAGCTTTTAAACAACAATAGCAACAAAATGGTATAGTTATGGACTTAATCTAATATAGAAATTATACATCAAATAGGATTAAAAATTTTAAAATTATATTTTTATATTTTTATTTATTTGTTGCAATCTGTAAATAATCTGATATTCCATTGCAATACATTATGGTCATTAAAATATATAACAATAAACTCTTGTAAAGTTTAGAAATACTCTTTCTAATCAATTGGCATCTCAATTTATCAAAAGAGACTTTCTTATTATGTTTTTTATTGTATATTTTAAACTTAAAAAACATAAAATTTTTAATTCATAAAAATAACTTTTTCTTCAAAACAACTCATAATCTGCTTTATATTGTGTATTCTTATTTTATTTTTTTGGTTTTTAGTGTAATTGATTTCACTTAAACCAAAAGAAAAAAGTAAACAGTAAGCGTTTTCATTACAGTTACTAATTTTTATAGTTATAAAGTTTTAAAGTTTTTATTTTTTCATCAAGAATTTTAAATCACTATCAAACAAGGTAAGATAAAACAAGATAAAGACAATGACTACAAGATGATTTTCTTTTCTTTTCTTTTCTTTTGCAGATAAACAATTGTTTTAAGAAGACATTTTTCTACAAATCATTAATATATTATGTCTTTAACAAATATATAAATATAATCTACCTACTTTGGTCCAAGATTAAGACAATGTCACTGTTTTTATTTGGAACTAAGCCAATGTAAAAAACATTTTTTAAATTTCTAATATCTGATAACAAGAGTTATATTTATATATATTTCTATGGTTATATATTTTCAGAAATATAATATTCAAATAAGCATTCAATGTGCTAAAACGCAAAGCCTATAAAATCATTTTAATTCAGTACTTTTTACTAGCATATTTATGATATAATTAATTATTAATTCTTTATCACAATAATTATTTCGAAGCTGCATCCTTCTTTAACTTGTCTTTTTCTATGTGGTAATTTGAATTTTTTGGTATTTTGAAATCTTACAACAAAATTGTGCATTTACAAACCACATATTAATAAATCACATACATATAAATACACACACACACACACACATGCATATATATATATATATATATATATATATACATACAATAATAATAATCATAAGTATGCAAAACCCTGATGATAATACAAAATAAAAGAAAATATTTAGAGAAATAGGAGACCTACAACACAATTCTACTATCAAAATCCACAGTATACTTCTCTGATTTTCTACTTGCTGAGAGGGAGGAAAGTAGATGAATCAAAATTCATGAAGAATATCAACAAATGCTCACAAAATTTCACAAACTAGCCTCGGGTCTTGTCCTGGGTAGGGAACATCACAACGTCATCCTCCGTCAACTCACAAATATGTTGTTCGGCATCGGCACATTCCATTGAGATCTGGGTCATTTCATTCCCGATCCAAACAGTTCAGATGGCATCCCACGTTCCAAAAGCATATACTCCTCTCGGCACCATCCCACCGACAATCGCGACGACGTTGACTTGTTCACCGACTGAGGCGTTGACCTCGTCGTTGACCCTACTCGCAGGTAGCTTCGTAGGTCCTCCATCCGCCTCAAGCGATGGAGTACACGAAAAAGCAGATTCTCATAAATGCTAAAAGTTACTTGGCACCAGAAAGATTTGAACACATGACAGTTCAAAAGCTTCACAACAGGAAAAAATTGCATTTTGAGATTAAAGTATAGAGCGACGTGATGTTGGCAGATGAATTAAATACTCGCGAGGAGCGAGCTTTGAAGTTCATAATTTTACATAAAAGCGGCGGATACACTCTCTTCCGGATTTCCAGGTTTTGCACCTGTCGGTAAACCTGAGATGGTACATTATGAATGATACAAATAAGTTCGATGCTGGCCACGATGGCTAACCAGTCTGGGCTCTCAGCTACGATGGGCTACTTGTGGGATGCCGCTTCCAAAACGAGCCCGCGGTCTCGACGTGTTACCCTGACGCAATCAGAGAAATCCAGTTTCGTTAGAAGCGTCCGGAAAGGTAAAAATCGCAGCTTTTGGTGGACACCCGAGCTGTTTGCTAAATGAAGGTGAGTGGTCGATTAGTACCTCGACTTGACGAGCGCCGTATTCGCAACGTTTGGCTGTCTCCCCTGTTCCCAGCAACCGTGTTGTGGTGAGCTGCTCGAATCTTCGAATGCAATAACCGTGAACAAACAACTCTGTGCTGCGTGAAGCACGTATCCGCTACATCTCGATCTGTCGAACAGACGAATGCTTCCCCATCTGAATCGGTGACGGAACCCATCAGATTGCCTAACAAGGTCAATTACACATTCGTCAGAGTTTTGAACTGGGGAGCGGCTTCCACATCTCTCAGCATCTTCACCACTTGTTGCATGGTCGGTCTGCGAGCAGGATCCTCCGCAGTGCACTGATTAGCTATATTGAGGACCTTCAGCATGTTGCTCTTCCACTGCCCGTTAGCAATCACGGGATCCAACGCGTCCGGCGCATCGCCGAGCTTGATCATCTGCCGCACGCACCCCACCAAATTCCCGCCCTGCATGGTCTCGTACTCCTTCCCTGTGGGCTCCTTCCCCGTCAGGAGCTCCAGGAGTATTATCCCGTAGCTATAAACATCCCCGCGCGTCGAGGACCTCCCGCATTGCCCATATTCCGGGGGAATGTACCCAAACGTGCCGGCGATGTCGGTGCTGACGTGCGTGTCGTACGCGCTGATCAGCCGCGCCAGGCCGAAATCGGCAACTCTGGGATCGAAGTTCTCGTCCAGCAGAATGTTGCTGGCCTTGATGTCGCGGTGGATGATGTGTGGAATGAACCCGTGATGCAGGAACGCAAGCCCTCGGGCGGATCCCATTGCAATGTTAAAGCGCTTGCTCCAATCGAGCTTCTCCAGTGCGTCAGCTCGATTACGAAGCCAGAGGTCTAAGCTTCCGTTCACCATATACTCATACACGAGAAGCTTCTCCTCGCCGAAGGAACAGTATCCCAGTAACTGCACCAGGTTAGGATGCTTCACCTTGCCGAGAGTCTCCATCTCAGCCAGAAATTCTCGAGTTCCTTGCGTTGTCGAAGCGCCGAGTTTCTTGATGGCTACAATCCTACCGTCGGGTAGCACCGCTTTGTACACCGTCCCGAACCCACCATCGCCAATAATGTTCGTCTTGCAGAAGTTGTTGGTGGCTTGCAGGATGTCGGCCAAAGTGAGTCGCAACAGTGGTCTCTCGAACATGGCAATGTTGATGCTCAACGGCTCTTTCGACTTCCCTGTGGAGGTGACACTGGAGTCCGCGTCCAGCACCATGTTGAGCTTGATTTTCTCTATATCCTTGAGCGCATTGGCTCGCCGCTGTATCCAGTAGCGTAAGACCCAGAAGATCACCGCAAATGTGAGCAAGGTGCATGCCAAAACGATGCCCAACAGCGCGGCGCGGCTGACATGATCGCTGGCTCGGCCAGAGGCTTCGGGAGCGCAGCGTGTGTTCAAAACTTCCCCGCAGAGGCCTGCGTTGCCGAGGAAGGAGGACGGGGTGAGTGATTGACAGCTTCCCGTGTTGGGAATGCACCCAACCAGCCTATTGTTGGAGACATTCAGCAATTCTATCGAGCGAAGGTTGCAGATTTTGCTGGGAAACTCTCCCTTAAGCTCGTTGTTGGACAGGTCCAAGTACGAGAGTTGGTAAAAGTCGCCCACTTCGGCTGGGATTTCGCCGGAAAAGTGATTGTTGCTCAAGTCGAGCACGGCTAAGCCTGAGAGATTCCCGACCAAAGCTGGAATTTCCCCGGATAACTGGTTCCAGCTGAGATTTAGTGACTGCATTTGGCGCCACACAGTGCTTTCCGAGAGCAGCCCCGCAATGCTACCATTGAGCTCGTTTTCTGCCAAGTTCATGCCCACGATGGAAACCAGATTGGCCATCGCCATTGGAATCATCCCGCTTAGGGAATTTTTGCTCACATCCAAATGCGACAAGCTGGTCAAGTTGCCAAGTGCCGCAGGTAAAGATCCCGTTAGTCGGTTCCCTGACTGATTCAACTTCACCAGGCTGACGATGTTGCCAAGCTCGGCAGGAATTTCTCCCGAGAACTGGTTGAACGCGAGGTTTATCCCTTGTAATGTGCGCGATTCGCCCAGCTGCGCGGGGATGTTGCCACTGAGTTGGTTTCCCGACACGTCCAGTGAGGTCAGATTCGCCAGCTTACCGAGTTCGGGAGGCAGCGGTCCAGAGAATCGGTTCCCCGCCAGAATGAGGTCGACGAGGACCTTGCAATCTCCGAGCTGGGGCGGAATCGACCCTGTAAGATCGTTCCATGACAAGTCCAAGGTGCCGCGGTGCTGGAGGAAGGTCGAAACGGGAATAGTTGTCACCTGGAAATCATTACATATTTCGTCGGGGATCTCCCCTGTGAGATTATTGTGCGACAGCACCAGGTAGTCAAGGTTTACGAGGTTTCCAATCTGATGAGGAATCTCCCCGGTTAGAGAATTGTTTCCCAGGTTCAGTGTAGTGAGCTGGGAGCAGTTGCAAAGCTCCAAGGGGATCGACCCACTGAGAGAGTTACCATGCGCGGAGAATATCATCAAAGTGCTCAATTTCCCAATCTCAGGTGGTATTGGCCCCTCGAGATTGTTGTTGTCGAGCACCAGATACATCAGCGACGCGCTGTTGCCGATCAAGGGAGACAAGCCGCCGCTCAGGTTGTTGCTCTCCAGCTGCAATTCGAGGATGGTCTTGGAGCTCCACAGGGAATCAGGCACGGGACCGGAGAACTGATTCGCGCCCAGAGACAGCATGATCAAGTTGGGAAGCTCAGCAAGATACGCAGGGATCGAGCCTGTGAGGTGATTCGACGTAAGGTCGAGCTGGGTCATAGCCAGACATCGTCGGAAAGTCTCAGTGATCGTGCCTGTGAGAAGGTTCTTGCTGAGGGTGACCACGTCCAGAACAGGGGCATTGCAAAGTTCAAGCGGGATGGGCCCCGACAGCTGGTTGTCATCAAGCCCCAAACTCCTAAGCTTCGAGCAGTTCCCAATAGAGGCAGGGATGGAGCCGTTAAACTGGTTTGTCGAGAGCAACAATGTGGACATGTTTTGCAGCTTCCCAACCCATGGACCCAGCGGTCCTGACAGCTTGTTACCCTCCAAAGATAATGATCGCAGGTTTTGAAGTGCAGCAAGCTCTTCGGGAGGTGAGCCAGTGAGCTCGTTGAACGCGAGATCAAGCACCTGCACACGCAGAGGAGGTTTGAGATTTATGCAGAAGACACTAAAACATCGAGATCAAGAGTCATTGTCAGAATTTAATGCAGAAGGTCGAATGGTTTTGCGATGAGGACTGACCTGGAGGTTGGCACATTGACCAATAGAAGCAGGGATTGGGCCCACGAGCCCCGTACTTGGCAGATTTAACGTCACTAAGCGTTTCAAATTGCCAATGGAGGTTGGCATTGGACCGCTGAATTTATTGCCACCGAGGTCGAGCTTGACAAGCTTGGCACATTGTGTGATTTCCTGTGGTATCGGCCCTCCTAACTTCGAACCCCCCAGAAACAAATTCGTCAAGTTGACAAGTTTGGAGATATCTTTCGGTATGCTGCCGTTGAGGGCGGTATTGGAACCTAGAGAAAGCTCGACAAGCGACGTCATGCCCCAGATCTCGGTCGGGATAGTTCCTGAGAGCGAGTTGTTGCTCAAGTCCAACGCCTGGAGGTTCTTCAAGGAGGCCAAGAGGGGTGAGATGCTCCCAGAGAAGAGGTTGCCACTAACATCGACGCTGTAGAGATTAGTCATCATGTTGATTGCAAACAATTCCCCGGTGAAAGAGTTCGCACTTAGGCTCAACTCTTCCATGTTCACCAACCCCTGCAGCTGCGGCGGGACAATGCCGGAGAAGGAGTTGAAACTGAGGTCAAGCCGCTTCAGATCAACGAGGCTCCCGACTTGCGCGGGAATAGATCCCGTAAAAGAATTTTCTCTTAGGATGAGCGTGTGAAGACGGCGAAGTGCTTCAATCTCAGCAGGAAGCTCTCCGGAGAACGAGTTGAAGCTTAACTCCACGTACTCCAATGCGGACATGGTGAAGAACGACCGAGGAAGCACACCATAAAATTGGTTTGAGTTAAGGTCGAGGTACTGTAGACTGGCCAAAGAGCCAATCTGAGACGGAAGAGTACCAGAGATGTGGTTATTGTTGAGATCAAGGTGCTGCAAATTGGTCAGGGTGCAAAGCGCCGGGGAAATGGTGCCAGAGAGTCCGAGCCGAGGGAGAGCGAGCTCCGTGACTTGGCTGAGGGCATTGCAGATGACACCCTCCCATCCGCAGGGATTGGCGTCGCTTCCCAACCAGGTTTCCAAAGGATCAATGGAACCGTCCCACATAAGCCCCTGCTTGAATGCCAACAATGCGCTTCCCTCGGCGTTGATGGCCATCACTTCAGGGAGCTCTCTCACCAGAATTGCCAGGATGAGCAACCTCAGTTGCATGGAAGTGGAGAAATCCATGATTCCCCCTCTGTCCAGCCTTCTGAGGCGGTTTCCAGTGGCTAAGGAGTTGGCTATTTCTTCCCGTCCATCCAACCAATGCCAGCACTGATTCGCCGCAGCCTGAACCGGAGGGCAGCTATTACCTGCAAGGATGATACTAAAGGGTCATAACATCGGCATGAAGTTTCTACAACTGACGCAAAAAAATTCAGTTTCTTTGCACAACGGGTCGGTGATCACTTCATCGCTTAGTTAAAATATTAACCAGGTTCTGATCATTGCACTCATCGGCATTGCTATGAATGTCATAGAACTTCTGCATTGCTGGTTGCAAATTACAGTCGTGACAGAAACTTTTTGTTACAATCAGCCCTGAAGGAAGCAGTATAACCCTGTCTGATTGAGAAGTTGCAGGAGTCGACGTGCAGTACCTGAGCGGAAGTCTCCCATGCAGTAATTATCGGCTAGTGCCTCAATGGCACAAATTCCCGGAAGATCGCACAGCGAAGTTGGTGTAAGACTGTCGAGCATAGGCTGCTCAAAATGACAGCTTCCAAGGAGCCGTCACTGTTTGGTCTGCGAAACTCGAACGGTCAGTGGGTCTGCTCCTGTATTTTAATTCCATCAAACGGTTCTACCAGCACAAGGAATTCGACTGATGCTTCATACCCGTGGCGATGGCGGTTTACATCGATACCTTCGTGCCAGGTGAAGAATCCCCACATTGACTTAGTCTCAGAACATCCCGTTTTGGAAGTTCACTAAGCGCTGGCATCGTCTACAACAATGCAGTCGAGCCCAGTGGCACTTTCTACACACCCATAAGATTTTTCTCGAGCGCATTCAGGAAAGCATTCCAAATTAAGTACGTTCAGGAGCCGAAGTTTTCCTCACGGTTTATTCCGTGAGTAGTTCTCCATTGCAAGCAGAAATGATAAACAAGGCGAACTCCCGGAAAATTTTCCAACTCGAAAATTGTGCAGAAAATGCTACCCTCAATACTAACTAACAACCTCGTGGCATGTTCGACGACGCCCCAAGTAATCAAATCTTTCAACCAAGTCGAGGTGTGTTAACAAGCCATCGTGGCTAAAACCCTGACGATTAGAGGAGCTGCCAACAAAACTAACCTCAGAACCCTGACTATCTTCTCTAAGTCTTTTGTTTTTTCGCAAAAACTACTGGCCGAGCCCCTTGACTACCCTAACAAAGCTCCGATCATGGATCAGTGCACACAAAAGAGGACCAAACCTACACGTCGACGCTGCAATGAAGAGAAAACCAATCAGCTAGTCAAGAAGAGCGCCGCCCGTCATGAGCACAACCCAAAGATGCCGCAGGATACTATGTCTTCTACACTTGATGCCAGCTTCTGCTTCACAACGAGGCACTGATGCAAGACTGGGTCCACAGTGCGACTGTGCTTTTCAAGGGAAGGGGACGACGACCCACCAGAAAGGTCATGCAGCTGCATGATCCTGTAGGTTAGCTATGACCATAGCTGCTGGCTGATGACTGCAGTGGGGGGGCTCTCTCTCAGGGGGATGCACGAAGATACGAGCGATCGGTCACTGCAGCATCGACTACAGCTGCAGCAGCAGAATACAGATCGACATACAGACAGACAGACTGACCCCCCACAGGCTCTGAATTGACCAAACGATCGAGGACAACGGGACAAGGTTATTCATAACCAAACAAACGGCTCTGAATACGCTCCAGACTCAGCCTGTAACACGCAGGGTGACGCCGCTTCCACAGGCTTCGCACGAGGCAGCTGCGCCTCCGGCCTTGTGGAGCCAGTCGAGCCCATTAATGCCTCCACGACCGACATGACCCATGGTGACCTCTCATTACCACCCACGCTGTAGCCATGCCTCGCGACGATCCTGCCCTAACCCACGCACGCACCCACCTACCCACGCCCGTCCCCAACACCTCACTCCGCCGAAATCAGTCAAAAACACCAAAACTCGAAAACACAAAACACAACACAATTCTTAATATTCTCTCGATTTCGGTCACCGTGGGCGAAAAAGATTGCGGCTGATTCGTCGCGGAGATTCTTGTTAACCCGTCGCGATTACATCTCACGAGCAACGGGCGTCAGAATTCAGCAATTCGTCGAACAAACGCCGAATTCGCACGCTCTACATTCGACGAGAGGGGCGATGTACACACACAACGAGGGAGAGGGGGACGGGGGTGGGGCTGCTGACGTGGTCGTGGGGTGCCCTCGTGGCAGGGGTCGCATCTCGGTGCATGCTGAGGTGGACGTGTTGGGGGGGGGTGGGGTACTTTTCCTTTTCCTTTTCCTTTTTCTTTTTGGGTATCGGAGATCCAAACCTACTCCAAGCTTGGGGTTCCAATGGGGAGCGGAGCTTGTGCAAGAGGTGGCCATCAAACGAAGCACTTGCCTTGCCTTTGTCCTTTGGAACCTAATGATAAGGAAGCACCCCCTTCTCTTGTAGTAGAAGACCCCAAAAGCATGGCATAGATAACAAAAAAATTAGCATGGCTCTCATGGCCTTCATATTCTAATGCATATTATAATGGCTTGTTTTGTTTTATGATGGTGGATGAATTGGACCCTTGGGAGGAGGAGATGGATGGATGGATGTGACCATACCCCCCCCCCTCCCCCCACAAAAACAAATTATAAAACTTGGAACTTGCCACCTCTACTTTTCACTTTTTAGTTTTTTTTGGTTCTACTATTGTTTTGGGTCCCCCACATGCATGATTGTCTCATTGTGTTAATAATGTGTTATTAATGTTATTAATATCAAGAATGGCCATGCTATTGATAAGAATTGGTAAAAAAGGTGGAAGTCCTTTGTAGAAGGCAAGTGAATTGTCTAGGTTATTGAAGAACCCCTCCTCCTATTTCTTTTATCTTGTTAGCTTTTGAGAGGTGTTAGTTTAATTGTTGCCTCTCATTGCACAACCCTTTGACTTCTTCTTACTTTACTTCTTTTCTTCACAAATTTGTTTTCTTTTTCTTTAACAATTCACACACACACACACACATATATATATATATATATATATATATATGTTAAATTGAATTAAATGCTTCTACATGGTTTTTTCTTTTATTTTCCAACTTTCTATGTGTGGTTTCATATTCACTAATCCAGCTGAACAAATCACTCAAACCCTAACCTAATCCTGATTCTCTATCAGAACTTTTATCAGATTTATTATTGTTATTATTTGTGGGTGGCTTTCAACCCATACAAAGCCTGCTCCAAAATTTCAAAATGGTCATGACTTTAGTTAGGATTCCATGCAAAAAGCCAGTTTTATATTTCATGTATTCAGTGGGTGTTTGAATTAACAGTACATCTTACCCTATTGATATGAGAAATCCATATTAATTTAGTAATTTATTTTCTTCTCAATCTTTTAATGCATTACTTAGGGTCACATATCACATCACTCAATCCAACATGATCTCTATAGTAGGTTATGGGGGAGTAAGATGGTCCCAAGGACAAACTTGATTGCATTGACAAGTTGTTTTTATCTAAACCAAGTGACATTGATGTCAATATTTTCCATTGACATTATTTAATGTGTCACCTTCTTTTCCCCTCCCCCCTTACATCTTAAAAAAAAAAAAAAATAATTACTTCCATTCCCAACTACAAAATTACGGATATGTATTGGTATCATATAAATTTCTATATCAAAGGGTACATCACCTTTACAATAAGGCCATAACAATATTTATCATTACCTTCCATTAATGAGGGCACTTGGTTATATTAATTGGTGATATCCCTATGTCAAGTAGCCCTTTGACCACCTTTCATAAGATTGTGAATGATTAGTATGCACTCTCATCCATATTTTATCATCTACATTCATCCATGTATGCATGGAAGAGAAGAATTTGGTGTAGCAAGTAGATTATATGCCGTTTAAGAATAGCAAGTTGGTAAAACAATAACTCAAATGTTTTGTTGCATAGTCTTTAGTCACAAAGTGAAGAAGACTGGATCTCAAACTTGAACTTTGGTTATTAATGTGTTGCTAGGGATGTACGTATTGATATATATATATATATATATATATTCCTAACAAAAGGCCCTAATATTTTTGGATACATTATAAATAATGTAAATACATAACAATTTGCTTAAATGTCATATAGTTAGATCTCATTACGGTGTAATTAAAAAATATTGAAGATGAATATGAGCACCAAATGCTCCACATTTTCCAAACCTTATAAAATCTAAGATTTATATAAATATATATATATATATATATATCTTAAAAGCATGTTACCACACCACATAGTTTCTACAAAACTAGCTAATTTACTATTACTTAAATCTTGTAAAAATAAGTTCAACATTACCCATAATATCTATATAACTTACCCATAATATAGATATCTCATATTCTTTCAACTCTTTCTCACAAACTGCCTCTATTGTCCTCCAAAGTTCTAAACCAAGGGAAACAATTATATATATATATATATATATATATCCGTTTTATTCTTTATCATTAAAAGTATATGTATGCATAAATTTGCATATTTACTATAAATTGCGATTAAGACATCAAAATTTTAGTATTTTTTAGTATTTTTTAGTATTAATTCTGTTTGTTTTATTTCAAATGATTTTTATTTTGTTTATTTATTGATTTATTTTGAAGCATAGGTCACCCACCTTCATCAAAGCTTCAGAGAAGATTTGTGCAGGCATTGAATGGACAGAAAAAAAGGGACAAATCTGTCCTTAGCTAACTGACAGAGTGAGTACTTGGGAGGATGGATGGATGTACACGGTCATGGATGAATGACAACCCACTTGCCGAGATGAGTTGGCTTTTATGGATCCATGTAACTCAGGGCTTCACCTGATAACTTTATTTTTTTTTATTTCTTTCTAATTAAAGTTTAAACAAACTAACACACAATACGAGTTTTAAAACAACAACATTTAGTATATATATATATATATATATATATCAATCTATAAAAGGTCATGTAAGGAGAAAAAACATGGCCCACATTGTGAAAAAGAACAACATAAACCATTCTAACAACAAGCCCAATTATCTAAACAAAAATACTGCATTATTAAACTGAAGTTCTCCATCTAAATCAGCTCTTAAAAACCTACTAATCTAAACAAAATTCCTGGTTTCTCTGGGCTCACTTGACTATGAGTAAGGGAATAAATTATTTACAAATATATGCAAGAATATAGACTTACACTTATGTTCAATTCATATTGACATTCCATTACATCCACATTGAAATGTTAATTTTTAACACAAATTTTATTTTTATTTAGTCCCCCCCCCTTCTCTCTCTCTATCTCTCACACACACACACACACACATATATATATATATATATATATATATGTGTGTGTGTGTGTATAAAGTGATTGATTTTTCCAATATATAAAATTGGAATGATAGATGTTAAATGGATTTATAAATAAGCTCTAAATTAATCATAATAATGATAATAATAATAATAATAATGAAGCAGGTTAAGATACGGAGGCAGAGCCCAGCCCAAAGGAATGAGCTGGTCCCAGAGTCCTTTTCTCGTATTAGTTGCCCTCTTTGCCGGGTTTCCAAGGCTTCTAGTTTCATTCATCCATATGGATATCCATCCTTTAATGGATGAATGCAATATTATTATTTTAGGCACATTTATTAGAGTTAAACTTAAAAACTTGTTATGTGCTGGATTGTGTGCTAGTATTAGTGTATCACCAAAATAAATATTTTGCATTATTTAGATACATATAATATTAAAAAGGTAATAAAAAGTATTAAATTTATTTCATTATTATTATTATTATTAGAGAATATTTTTAAATAATATAGGATGAAATTTCTTTAGTTTATTTAATTTTAAATAATATAAATACAAAGGTATGCGTAGACACAAATATATACACATGCATACCAGTGTGAGTATAATCATACATACATGTATGATAATTTATAGTTTCACATGAACTTTTATTGAATGTTATGAATATAATCAAATGTGGATAATTAGAAAGCAATATCTTGAAGACTCATGCAAAATACAAAAGAGATAAAAATGATGATTTTTTATTTTGGCAACACATGAATGATCATTCTAAGTTTCTGTATAACAGACAAAGCCAACAAATGGTTTTCACTTGTTTAAGATATTTAAAGAATAAACATTTTCCTAATGTATTTTGAACAAACTCCTTAAATTCTGTAGAAAATGTAATTTTTTTATTACAAAATAGCAATTGGCCTAAAAATATGCTTATGGCTAATATTTTCAGCCTATCCTTGAAGATGATTAATCGGATAAATTTTTGAGAAAGGACGTTAATCCTTGATTAATGAGAAATAAAAATTTAAAAAATAATTCTTTATAAAATTATTAAAAAGAGATATTTGTCTTAAAGTTTAAATTCAATTCTGAATGTATGACATTACAAGTTTGCAATTTCCCAAAAGATATTCTGTACTCTAACTTACCAAGATTTAGAAACCAAATTTCTTAATTAATGAAAAGCAATTATGATGCAAAATCTTTGTAACTGTAATAAATAAATATATATTGATATTATGTCATTTTGATATCAAAAGTTTAATATTTAATATAAATGTGGTGGAAATTTAATTGTCTATTGGAAATATCAAAAAATTTCCAAAAAAAAAATATATTTAACAGCCAAAGTTCGATATTTATAACTATACTAACACAAACACATTTAGGACTTAAAAATCATTCATCTTCCTAATTGGTTAATTTTCTTGTGTGTATATATATATATATATATATATATACATATATGTATATTAATGAATATTCTAAAAAATGATTATGTATAAATAATAAAAACCAAAATTCTAAAACATGATTTATATCTTTAGTGATAAAAACATAAATAAACAAAAATATGTTAACTATAAATAGAAACGGTTTAATTTGAAATAACTTATTATTATATGTGTATGTATGTATATATTTCTCACTTCATTCCAAAACAAAGTTTATCAAAGACTGGGTTTTGTTTTTGTATTAGTTAAATAGCACCTCAAATATAGAAAGCAGATGCAAAACAAGAAAAGGTAACACATACTGCATTTGGC